GGAGGAGAAGGGGGCAGGCAGCGCTGCCTGCACGGCAGGGACCCCTTGCCCACAGCTCTGCATCAGTGCTCTCCACCAAGGAATCTGGTGGGGCTCTCACCCCATGGGGCGCTTTGCAGCTCCCACCCCAGCGGGTCTGGCCCAGCATGGTCAGCAATGGCCTGCTCTCCCCGCAGGCGTGAGCACAGCAAGCCTGCCCCGTGGCTGTCCCACCTCATCCTGTCCACCCCATCCCACCCCATCCCATCCCATCCCTCCCTTCCAGTACATCTGCCATGGGCCCAGCTCTCTTGCCACCTCCCACCACTCTTCTCTGCTCCTCCAGGTCTTCTACAACAACAAGGGCTACCACAGCATGCCCACCTACCTCAACGCTCTCAACAATGCCATCCTGCGAGCCAACTTGCCCAAGAGCAAAGGCAACCCTGCTGCCTACGGTGAGGGCCTGGAGGTGTTTAAGGGCAGAAGCATGTCAGGAGCAGCTTTACGGCATGGTCCAACCAGGCTCTAAAATGCAGTGTCCCCCCTTGGACCAAGCAGGGTAGTGCCCAGTTGGGGCAGGGGGGTCACACACCTTGGCTGTGAGATCTGGGCTAGGCAGATCTCTCTGAGGTCTGGGCTGGGGCAGAACATCCCAAAGTGCTGCCTGAAGGCACCTGGGCTTGCGACATGTCCGAGGATGCTCTCTGCCAGCCAGTGAGGGAGGGCTTGGCCTCGAGGTGCTTGGTTGCTTCAGACACCGCTCCTGCCGAGCTGCAGGGAGGAAGCCTGTGCTCCCCCTCAGAGCCAGGGCCAGGCAGGCTGCAGGCAAGATTTTCTGTCCTGAGCCAGCTTTCATCGTCCCGTGTTTCTTCTTGGGCCTTCCTGCAGGCATCACGGTCACCAACCACCCCATGAACAAGACGAGCGCCAGCCTGTCCCTGGATTACCTGTAGGTCCAGGGAGTGGGTTTGAGGGAGGGTGGCGTCCCATGGAGGGGAGGGAGCTCCTCACTGCGGTTTGCAGGGGAATGCCAAGGCTTCTGCCCTGCAGGCTAGGGGGTGACACACCGGGTGGCTGTGACGTGGGGGTCTCTGTGCCGTGCCCTGCCCTGTGCACAGCGACTGTCCCATGCCAGGGCGGGTGGCCCTTCCCAGGGCAGCTGAGGGTGACGGGGTCCCTGCTCTCCTCCTTGCTCCCCATGCAGCCTGCAAGGCACGGACGTGGTGATTGCCATCTTCATCATCGTGGCCATGTCCTTCGTGCCAGCCAGCTTTGTGGTGTTCCTGGTGGCCGAAAAGGCCACCAAGGCCAAACACCTGCAGTTCGTGAGTGGCTGCGACCCCGTCATCTACTGGTTGGCCAACTACGTGTGGGACATGGTGAGCAGGGCACATGGCCCCACCAGCCAAGCCCCCAGGGTCGGGCGGGTGGGTGGGCAGTCACGGAAGTTTCTGTCTTCTCCAGCTGAACTACCTGGTGCCGGCCACGTGCTGCATCATCATCCTGTTCGTGTTCGACCTCCCGGCATACACCTCTCCCACCAACTTCCCCGCTGTCCTCTCCCTCTTCCTGCTCTACGGGTACGTTGCTCAGAGGGGTGGTCAGGGTGCACTGGTGGGTCCTTCCAATGCCTTATCTACACTGTGGCTACGTGGGCAGGATCTGGCCTCAGGGCTGCCCATCTGGCTGATGTTCTGCAGCTCCTGTAGCTGGTGGGCTGCAAGGGCCGGGGTGGGAGAGACTGGGGAGGATGGGGCTGGGAGATGGGCAATCCCAAGGCTTGACGGTTGGCGCTGCCCGGTCCCTCTCCTGCCACGCTGACGTGCGCTTCTGCCGCTCGCATTCTCAGCTGGTCCATCACCCCCATCATGTACCCTGCCTCCTTCTGGTTCGAGGTGCCCAGCTCCGCCTACGTCTTCCTCATTGTCATCAATCTCTTCATCGGCATCACGGCCACCGTTGCCACGTTCCTGCTGCAGCTCTTTGAGCACGACAAGGTATGGGATTCACAGCTCTGCCTGAGACCACCAGGAAGGGAGAAGCTGCCGTCGGGTCATGGGACAGCTCAGGCTGGGAGGGACTTCAGGAGGTCTCTGCTCCAAACTCCTGCTCCCAGCAGGGTCAGCTGTGAGACCAGACCAGCCTGTATCTTGGTGGGGATCCTGATGCTACCATGCGCTCACTGTCCTCAGGGGTGTTTCTGATGGTCGTGTCCTCTCTGCCCATCCCCACAGGATCTGAAGGTGGTGAACAGCTACCTGAAGAGCTGCTTCCTTGTATTCCCTAACTACAACCTGGGCCATGGCTTGATGGAGATGGCCTACAACGAGTACATCAACGAATACTATGCCAAGATCGGTATGGCCTCTCGTTCCCTCCCTCCCTTGCTCCAGGGCATGTGGGGCTGGGGGGACCACAGTGCTGGCACACCCCCTTTGTCTGCCCTGTGGGGCTTCCCAGAGCAACCGGGAGCAAAAAGCTCCAGGATGTGAACTAGACTGTGTACAGGAAGAGACACGGTTGAGGGTCAGCCATGGTGTGGTGCCGGTGATGCTGAAAACGGTTCCTTGGGCCATCCTGAATAGCAGCCCCACGGGGAGAGGAGGTTCTGAGCCCCGGCAGAGTTGTGTGTTTCTGCTGCTGTTGCACACTGCCTGTGGTGGGGCCGTGGTGGGGCCGTCACCTGGGCTTGCGACATGTTGGTGGGGCTGTGGTGGGGCCATGGTGGGGCCATGCTGTGATAAGAGGGATGGGCTCTTTCCTTCCAGACATGGTCTCTTGCTTGCAGGGCTGCACTGCCCAGACAAAATGAGCCTTTTGCTACTCGCAGCTTCAGCTTGGCCTCAAAAAGCTCTTGCTGCTCTCTGCTTCTCAAGCAGCTTCCGTATATAAGGTGCTGCTGGCATCATGAGAGGCAATTTTGGGGCAGGATCTGACAAATCCATCCAATACGCACTCTCAGTTGGGTTGATTCACTCTACTGAGGTTGAAAAGTTGCAAGATGATTTCAACAGCACACGCTGTGAATGGAAAGCCTTGTTGTGAGCAGCCCTGGTGCCAGCAGCACCGACCAGCCCAGGCAGCTGCGGCAGGGGAGGGGATGCGGGAGCAGGACAATGTCATTGTCACAGGCCAGCTCAAGACAGTACGACTGGGTTGTCCCCATGGGAAGGTGTCCCCAGCCACTCTCTCCTCTTCCTCCCACTCAGGGCAGTTCGATAAAATGAAATCGCCCTTTGAATGGGACATCGTGACGCGGGGGCTCGTTGCCATGACAATCGAAGGCTTCGTCGGCTTCTTCATCACCATCATGTGCCAGTACAACTTCTTCCGGAAGCCCCAGTGAGTGTGGCCGGGGAGCAGGGGGCAGGCTAGGCGGGGCTGGCTGCGGGGAAAAGCTTTGCCGTCGGGATCCCTTAGCTCAAGGCTGCCCCTCCGGTGGGTGCGAGCAGGGGAGCTGCCCATCCCCGGCAGGGATGCGGGCAGGCGGCTCCCGTGCCTGCATCCCCACCCCGGCCCGTGCACCCTCCCGCAGGCGGCTGCCCGTCTCCACCAAACCCATCGAGGACGACATCGATGTGGCCAATGAGCGGCACCGTGTCCTGCGCGGCGACGCTGACAACGACATGCTGAAGATCGAAAACCTCACCAAGGTGCAGCAGCGGGGCAGCGGCAGTGGGGGATGCTCCGGTGCTGCAAGGAGACACCTCGGAGCCCTCCCATCTGAGGGATTTGGGTCGGGGCTGGGGGTCCGGGAGCTTCCCGGCAGGCTGAGCCGCCATCCCCTGCCCCGCCAGGTGTACAAGTCCCGCAAGATCGGGCGCATCCTGGCTGTGGACCGGCTGTGTGTGGGCGTGCGGCCCGGGGAGTGCTTTGGGCTGCTGGGCGTCAACGGTGCAGGCAAGACGACCACCTTCAAGATGCTGACAGGGGACGAGAGCACCACGGGTGGAGAGGCCTTCGTTAATGGGCACAGGTCAGGGGGCACGGGCTGGGTGGGAGGTGGGGACTGCCCGCTGTCCTGGGGACGGGACAGGGTCTGCTTGGGGGTCTCCCAGGATGAAGCAGCGTGAGTCTGCCCGTGTGGCTCCGTGGGACTCTGCAGTCCTGTTCCTGGGCTGACCATCATCTGGTGGGTGGCAAGGGACACTGGCTCTGAGCCAAGGCTGCCCATTGTGGGCTACGTGGTAGAAGATGCTCCAGTATAAAGGCGTGTGAAAGGGGGATGAGCAACAGGGTGCTCCCGAAAAGCAATTCCTTCTTCCCACGGCCCCTCCATCGTCTCCCACAGCATCCTGAAGGAGCTTCTGCAGCGCAGAAATCCGCCCTCCCTTAACACAGCATCCTGCAGGAGCTTCTGCAGGTTCCGCAGAGCTTGGGCTACTGCCCCCAGTTCGATGCGCTCTTCGATGAGCTGACAGCCCAGGAGCACCTGGAGCTCTACACCCGCCTGCGCGGCATCCCCTGGAAGGACGAGGAGCGGGTAGGGCTCTGGGCGGGCAGTTGCCAGCGCCCGAAGGCTGGCGCTGTGCCTCAGGAATGACATATCACCAGCAGGGACTGAGCTGGTGTCACTGCCCTCATGGCAGTGCCGCTCCAGTGGTACACCCACGTGGGGTACCGGGACCGGGCACATGCGCTTGCAGGCCCCCACCGCCCATGGCCCTGCCAGGGGCTGCCATGGGGCTCCCCTGACTGGCGCATCGCTTGTGGTCCCCTTGGCAGCAGGCCCGTGCTGTGGAGCCCAATTGCTTGCCTACTGCCTGCTGGTACCCT